TATTGAATTTCTGGGGGAATGTCTCCAACCTCTAAAATTCATCGCAATAATTAATATTTTGTTCACAGTTGAATATATCTGTGAATAATCTATTGGAATTTAGTCGAACAATTCGGGTTAGCAATTTATTTGACAAATGCCATATTACATTTTTGTTATCCCATCAAAGTGAAATAGAATTTACAATGAATTCTCATGATAATTGTTGAATTAACTGCATAATTCCAAATTCATTCCATTCATTCCGTTTGAAATATACAGTGAATTTATATTAAAATATGCGAGATAAAAAAAATAAAAATAAAAACAAAGGGCGAAATGATGGGAAAAGCTTGTTCCAGATTTACAAATCAATCTTCTGAATAACAGGCACATGATTCGCTGAAAAATTTGTACCAAATGCCTCGGAACCCGAAGCGATATGACCTCTCCCAAAAACCATAATCCTCATGCATGTACATCACTCAATGATACCTCCCACCCCCAATTCTCAAAGTTCAAACCCATTTATTTATGACAAATGGCCCCAATTATTTCGCTCCCGATCCAAATCGATTTTGACAGTACCAACGTTGGCACACACGCCAAACGAGCGAAATTCACATTGACAAACTGCGAGTCTCACAAATTGCGTTCAAAACTCTGAGGACATTAACCATAGGTGAATCACTAGGGCAAGGACAATCGATGAGGAATTGCCTAGTACCTAGATTAATTACCCCCTTCGGCTATGACTCCCGCACGACTAACTCAAAATACATTTTCCTAGTTTCTCACACGCATTCATCACTCTGGGGGTATTATAAGCACGACGGGGAGTTATGTTCTCTAGGAACTAACTAATGTACTCTGAGCTGCTTGAAATTTCATCAAGAACTTGAAATATCCAGGGAGGAGCTTCGCCCTATCGCCTATCCCGACTTGTATTCATTCTTATTACCTATGTTACATCATTTCTATCATCCCTCCTTCATAACTACTCAAAACGTAAATGTAATTTATATTTTTTATAAAATTATGATTTCAAATATAATCTACGTTTATATTTTCGTGACGCAAGCTACAACAGATTATGATTTCTGAATTTAGTTGATGCGTCTCAAAGATTCTATACCGTTGCCTTTCTTGATTATCGTCCTGTCTTTACTGTTCCCAAAATTTTTAACTCTTCAATAAACACTTAGGAAATCAACATGGATATATTGTCAAAATGCTCGATTCTGTACTTGTTAAGATGAAGTGAGAAATTAAATCCATTTGGGAATGCATAACTCCTCCGGAAATTCAAATAGACTCATATGCAATTGATTCTCTATTTTTCTTCATGAAACTACTCCACAGTATTCAATTAGGCCATCTGCAGAGCAGCCGCAGACTAGAAAAGTGAATGGAAATCTCCATGGATGGGGCAATTTCGGTCTTGCTGAGCATTTCTGAATCGAGGGAGCGATAGGTGGCCGTTCGACTCTCCTCATCCCTAGTGCGATCAACCACAAAGCTCGCAAACAGATGCTGCATTATCCCATGAAGACAAATTCAAAGCTCCTCTTCAACAATCATCAAATACCATTGCTCGAAATACCATTTTCATTGAAACTTAATACAAACGTCTGCACATAAATGTCTGACTTCGTCAGTTGAATATCGTGTGACGCTCCTTTATAAAATGATGTAGTGTCAATATAAGGTAACTCACTTGAGTGGCAGCTCTCTCTCCTCTATAAGGATAAAGAGAGATATGTGCACTCAACTCTATAAGTGCTTATTGTTGTGCTAGCATTAATACATGCATATGAAGTTTAAAGCCTTGAGACGACATGAGAAAATGTAGTGGATATATTTCAGTGATATGTATGGATCCACAGCATCTGGTTTTATTCCGCCCTTGTAATTCAGGCTCCTTTAACTCCAGGGGCTTGAGAAGCTTTTCTTCTCATATCTTTTCCCTCCCCAGTTTAAACTCTATAGAAACGTATCTTTTACATGCACATATGCCACAGCCATCTCCCTTCTTTTCTTAAAACCAGAGCTCGTTGTACATACGACTAAACGATGAGTTTCCGGGTTGCCCCGGGAAGTGGAAGCTGGCAACTGAATTTATGCTTCATTCGTACGTGTACATACCGCAGCGGTATGCTCCGTTAAAGCCGGTAGAGAAATGGAGACGGTTGTGTGGTATACACCGAGGCAATGTGGGCTAGGAAGGTGGTGTCAGAGGTAGAGGGGAATTGAAGCAACTCTGCTGTGTGAACCATCCCCACAAGTTTACCCCCTTGAGATACTCTCAGCTCATGGCTCTCAACCGCTGCTTATTTATTGCACCACGCGGCAAACCTTCTACATGCTCTCCTAGCCTCCATACTCTAGGCGAGATAAAATTTAATTCCTCACCGGTCCCTCAGTGCCTCTTTCTCTCTCTCTCTCTCTCTCCCTCTCTCTCTCTCTCTCTCATTCTCTATGACCGGTCAATTTTCCATGGTGACTGGCTGACTTGGTTGGCTTGAATTTATCTACCAATACTGCCAGACAACTTGAATCCCCCGAAGGATAACATCTATTCAACAAAGTTCTTTCATACACCATTTTGAGCAAGACTAATTGACTCTTCCGCTGTATTTTTCCTTTCTCCACGTTTGAAGGGAAAATTTTTCTCTCCATGGAGAGACCAAAGATTGGAGATTATTTGTCTGCCTGAGCTCAGAACTTTTCCATTACACTTGGGTAATTTCAGATTGGGAAAACTCGTCGTTTTCTATTGGATATCGAATGCTTTGATGGAGTAATTTATATAGAAGCTCATGGGCCACCTGCAATAAATTGATACTCCAGAAAGAACAAGTGAGAGGGAAATGAAAAACCGTTGGTTCCACGACTAGCTCTTTTTCGCTGTGGCTAGTTAATTTGTCATAATCTCTCATGCCCGAAGCAGTGGAGACCAATGGCAACGCTCGGATGATGAGACCTGAGGCACTGGTGCGAGAGTCGTTTTGTTTCCATCTACCGTCCAAGCCGTGGAGCTTAATTTTCAATTATCAGTGGATTCTCCACTTGAGCGAACTACACCCCTCAGCCAACGAGACAAATTGGATTGTACCCAGCGCACTGTTTCGGAATGTGTATCACCACACGTAACAACTATTTACTCTCGTTTCCATAGGTTTTGTTGTCCACTGATTCTCTGTGATCTCCTGTCGGGTGAAATAGGCAATAGATTGTTGTTTAGACTCGTGCAACCCAAGCCATACGTATGCTTGTGAAATTGATGCTTGGGCGGAATTTCACGACTGAAATAACAATGGGCGCAAAGTACACGGTATACACGATACACACAGAGAGTTATACGAAGGATAAAAAGAGATCAAAAAGTTGCTTCAAGTAGACAGGGAGTTGAATCGATGTCTTTGACATACATGACTCGTAAGTTAATTTTCATTCTCGAGGAGGAAGAGGCAGTGGATGGCATGTAGAGCCATTGCAACTTCCCTCCGTATTTTTTTTTTGTCAACTATCTTTCAGTGATTCATTCATTTTATTTGAAATTACTCAGAGCCCTTTACTCTTCATGAGGATTCGTCTTAAGCTGCAATTAAATCCACTCACTCTTGCGAGAGACGTAACTCAATTTGCAAATGTTTTCTATTCGCTGTCCACAATTGGCGCTCGACCCGGCTGAAGGTGGTAAATTCAAATTCGTACAAGTGGCGAAGGGAGAGCGATGAGATAAAGTGGCGACTTTGCATAGGGCGGTAGTAACAGCCTCTTGAGTACGCGTGGTGGAACAATGTAATTAACAAGAACAAGTGGGAATAACAATTAAGGAGGGTGGGGAAGGGGTGACGAGCTCAAGAGAGTCCTGGTTGTCAAGAAATACTTCTTAGCTGCAGGTAAGGGAGTTTTTTTATAGAATCACCTTACGTAAAGGCGATTAAAGCGAGTAGACACAAAAGAAATTGAGGAGAAATCGTTCTTGAAAAGTATCAGCACTCTGTAAACTAGTGGAGAAAGAAGTTGGAGGTTTTTAAAGGAAAATGTGAACGTGTGCAGCATTGACTTTCCATTGATATTCTGCCAAGGAGTTGGTCTAATGTGGAGCTTTTGTCTTTATCGAGACACCCATCTCAAAGCATCTCCAGCCCTACTTCACAGTGCCTTGTCTCGCATAAGGGTGGTAATAGCTTTCATGTTTTTTTTTTTTTCGTTTATTCTTCTTAGTCTCGGTATTGGATACGAGAGTGGAAAATAGACGTGAATTAACGAGTATTACTACTGACGACAGACGTACGAATTAATTCTCAATTGAAAATCTAATTAATTAGTATTATCGAATCAATGTAATTGGCTCAATTCCTTGGATGTTGAATTTTCGATGGGGCAAGTAGAGATAGGGAAAACTTGGTTGGAGGGTGGGGATGTCATGAGAGGGTTGCGCGATTCAACCCTTGCATTCACCGGAGAATTGTTGACTCCTTGAATTTGCGATAACGCGCGTAAAACCGGTTACCCAAAACTCGGTGGAGCATCTTTCCTGGGAAAATCGCCGGTCTATCTCCGGTATTTATGAGGAATCGATACTCCCAGGATGCGTGAAAGGACCGCTGGTAAAACATGGTAAACACCAAACGCCAATTTCTACAGGCATGCCTGGTCACGAGAAGCCTCAACCCCCACGCAGTGAAGATCCTACCAATTTTTTTCTGGTCCATAGAGTCCTAACAAGATGGGAAAAATGGGAAGGATACCCTCTTCTCACGCATCATTCACCGCAGATTTCTCCCAATTCAGTGGTTCAATTATTTTTTATTGATAACCGATCTTTATCGTCGAGTGCCTTATTATCACAGTCATTCGATAAATCTTTAATAGATGACTAATGGATTTTGATGCCGAACCATGAAGTTTTTAAGCGAGTTTAAAAAAATTTAGCTGGTGTTTCATCAATATCGCAATTTTATGCAAATTTATTTTAATGGATTTAATGAACACGTGGGTTTTTATTTCAGGCGCAGCAGCGGCATCTCGTACTTATGTGGACGCCCTCTCCAGACTCGCGAGACAAGCACAGCTTGGTACCTGGGGTGGCTCTCAGGATGTCGGTGAGTAGAAGTTGATTATCCTCCCAACAATCTCATCACCGCCGTACGACTCGAAACCTCAGGGGGCCTAGAATACCCCAACTGCTTGTTTTTTCTCTCACTTCTCCACTCTCTTTTCACCATCTTATACAATGTACAAGGAGGAATGATTGTAAGCTTTTCTTCTTGAATACCCTGTCCCACTGTCCCAAGTGTGCCTTGTAATGCCCAACACATTTTCTTTATTCGTGCAACTTTTGTGGGTTTTAGTGCCTCGAAGGCTTCCAAAGCCAATAAAAGCGCGTCCACTCGACCATACCTAAGCTGAGAGCTTTACTCTTCTGTACTTTTATTATCGTCTCTTGAAATATCGCACGTATGGGGCTGCTTAACGAGATCATCACGGGATGACGAGTAGAATCAAGCCGACGTGTCGGAAATCGAGAGGTGTTTCCAGAGATTGGGGTGAGATACCGAGGGTTAAAAATGAGACTGATGCACCGCTCATGACTCTCGTCAATCAGAATTACGAAACCCTAAGGGTGCGAGTCAGGTGTGCCTGGGGAGGTTGTCACATTCTACTGCCATTGATTCTGCATCGACATGTCACGACATATGGCTTTTAATGACTCGCTTGTATTCAATTTGGGAAACCCTTTGCCGCAGCGGTAATAGCATAGTATATAAAAGAGAATATTATTCCGCATATCTCATTCCTTCAGAAATCCAATAATTTTCAATTATCAGAGACTCGGGGAATTAGTTTGTCGAGGTGGAGTGCACCATTTGGCAGGGATTCTGGTCTCGAATAGGTGGCAAAGCCCCAAGGTAAATGGTTCTACAATGAGAGTGAGAATATTGTCATCCAACTGGAGAAACAAGCGTCAATTTGCCTCCTGCCTAGCTTTGCAGCGTTTATTATTCGCTTTTAATTTCTCAATAATCGTTCTGAACCGGTGTCGTCTTGTTCAACAATACCATTTACCACTGTGGCCCTTAGAGGTTTAGTGGCAAACCAATCTCGATTATACTAAATCGTCCCGGCCAGGGACCGAGCCACTGGTGAATTTGGTTTTAGGTGAATCCACAAAATTGAATCGTTCCTCATTCCCGAGGTGATATCTCTTGCAGAAGTTCCACCGTATGACCCTTCAGGAGGCCCTCGGAGATGATCCACAAGAGGTTGATGCCACCACACTCCGTACTTCTCCATACTGCCATCTCCCTTTCATCCAACCTTCCACTTACTCCGCAGACTTCTTCTTTATAAGTATTCTCTTTTTTTTTGGGATTCGATTTTCTTTAGGTTAGGCTATAAAAATAAAATTACTAATGATTACATTCGATCTATATAAATTTATGTCAAATTTCAATCGACAATTTCTGAGATTGTTTAGCCTATTAGTTTTTAGTTTATCGAGAAATTATTCCAGAATTCGTACATCAATTTTGATGGGAATAGATTCCCAGGCGATACCATATTTTCTATTTTGATTGGAAAACATCTGATGACCTATTTATTGCGAGAGCGCTCGAAAATCAAATAAGGTACCTCAATGGCTTTGATCTTTGACACGAAAAATTGTTCCGTTTATTGGTTTTCAAGGAGAGAGAGAGAGAGAGAGAAAAAAAAAATCGTATTACACAGCTAGTTTACACGCCACGAAAAATCCAATGAGTGGAACCAGTGGCTCCGGTGCAAAGGGGAAGTGGAAATGGGCGGGGTCGGAAGGGTGTAAGAGGGGCATTCGATTATTGGGGGTGTGAAAATGAGAGTGATATCGAAATTGGCAATATCGTGGGCTCAGCCTCCCTTACCTCACTATGTCTCGATCGATATACGAATCTGCCTTTCAGGATCTACAGGCGCCCTCGTAGGCCTCACCCATCCTCTTCCTCTTCCATTTTTCACTTGATTCTTCGGAATAGCAGTTTCCGGAAGTACCAGCTTGAAGGAAAGGCCCCCGTCATAAGTAAAATTGAAACTCGATTAGATAAGAATTCACGCTTACAAAGGAAACTCAACTTCTTTGTGTACTTTTCATATATTTTTTATCTATAATTTCCCATCCTTCTGCGAACGAAACAACGAAATTTCCCCGTTTTTCAACTATTTGAATCCTCTTCACCCAACGTTCATCGCAGTGCGGCAGGCTAAAACAGAACTCTGGAATAGTAAATTCATCCACCCGGTGTAGAAGAGAATAAAATTTCTAATTCCGGTGCCTAATTCAAATTTAATTTCCTCCTTCAAAAATCCCCTGAATTAGGGCTGGCCCTTCAGACATGCAAACCGTTTTGCCATGCATCTCAGGTTTTTTCTATTTGATTTTATTATGCATGTTACTTTACATGGGATGGTGTGGTAATGGTGTTTTTTTCCTCATATAAAAATACGACAGAAAATCGATCTCGAAATATCTAGAAGACCTAATCGACCCGCGACGACTAAGCCATAGCAAAATCCCAAAAATTTTGAATGAATGTGCGAGCAGAGAACGCGGGGACAAAAAAAGATTTCGTCGACAAAAAAAGGGAAAACGATTACCGTGTTTATTCTTAATGATTTCAATCTCGTTTAATTACTGTCCGTCATTTAATACGCATATAACGATAGGCTCACAATTTCCGAGCTTCAATTAATTTCTCTAATGAGAGCGAATTAAATTGAAATTCTGAAAACAGTAGTTAAACCCCTATTCACTAAATACGAAATTATAATTCTTTCACTTCCAATAAATATAACTAAACACGGGTAATCCACATTAATCACATTATTCGGTGTAGAAATAGTTATTCAACGTTGACGAGTAAAGTCTCGATTAAACTCCCTGGGGCGGTCGAACGTGTGTTGCTAGATGAAAAGTGGAGTATTTTGATGCTATTCATGTTATCATACTCCTCATCCCCTTTTCTTTCATTCGTTCCATTATTTTCAATTGGTCGTTTTACTGCTATGCGCCATTGGGTAGTATGAAGCTATAATAATTCGCTGAGGGAGATGTTCACACGCGTAATTTTATGCAATTACGTGGATTTGACACCTACGTATTTTCAGTAGTTGGAGTCTCTTGATGGTAGACATCATGTCGAGATTCCGGATGCATTCAGTAGCTTTCCACGTCCTTTACGCCATTTCCAGCCTCATAATTCAGTCACTGTGATCGTTCACCCGATCTCAAACGCATCACATCACACACTTCAACCCGTTAATATACACCTTGGGATAATCTTAGTTGTCATGTCAACTCTTGGAAATGTAGTATCTCATTTCATACTCATGTGAGCCCACAGCCTCTCCCCAATCAACTCAAATCCGAAACAGTATCAGGGATGTAATTAGTAATATTGTATAGAACTATTTTGAATATTTACCTGAAAATTACGTACATATGCGTGTCATACACACGTTGGAATTGCATGGTATTCCAAAGAATTTTTCTGCCAAACTCAATTTATTAAAAATTTTTTGTAAAAAATTAACATTTGCCTCAGTTTTTGACGAAACAAGTTAAAGTTGTTATCATAGCTTATCTAATCTAATCTAAATCCGATTATCAATTAAATGGAAAATAGAGTTCGTAGGATATGCACTTAATGTTTCCGAATACGGGGCAACATTTTGTTCGTCACTCGGCGTTCCCTCACGAACCGGGTGACCAAAAAAATGAGTATCATCATAAACGGTATATTTCGTTACTCAGTTCATCATTCGGTCGGAAAAACAACTATTGGTACGTTGTTACTATTGAAGTAACCACTCGAAGAACATTTTTATCAATTATACAATATTCCCAATGCTCTTGACCGAGTTAATTTGCTGTTCTCTTTCATGATTCAAACTGTTCTCCATGGAGTACTCTCTGTCAGCTGCGAATGCATCAGAACTTTGCTATCCATTGGGATTGCTGAGGCATTGATCGAGGGGCTTGCCACCGCTATTCGCGAACCCATATATGGGATTAAATTGATTCCAATTTTCATTTAATCATTAAACAGCTATATCCACTTTCGATTGAGATGGATGGCATTTTAAATGCGTGAAACAAAAATTATCTAAGCTGATGATTACCTGAATCGATTCATTGAATTATTCGATAAACTCACAAAACAATAATTTTTTTAAAAACCACGAAGTGAGGTGGTTATCCATTTCCGGATAATTTATCATTGACGAATCACTTTATTTTTTCGAAAATTCGGGTTTGCTCACCGGTTGTGTGATGAACAAAATGAAGAATTGAAAATTTGATGGATCTGTGCGCGCGTTAAGAAACTCTCATCCTACCACCCAAACAATCACGTTGCTCCACCTCGTAAATGTCCCCAGAATCCATTAATTTTACCGTGAACTTGTAACTGATCGTGTACATATCTGGAAAGCTATCTCCCATCGTTCCGCGCGTCGGGCACACGTCTGGGTGCCTCCACGAGACCGTGAAATCCTCCTAATTCAGTGTCGTATTCTAACGCTGCCACGGACACACGAGTAATAGACTGCATCCTCCGATGCCAACCAATGGGATAGTTATTGGAATCTCTCAAGAATAGGAACACAGGGCCCTTCAATTTATCCCATATATCTCAAGCCCATATTCATCCACATTACGGACCAGTGCTATAACACAGGTATACGCAGATGTGGTGATCCTGTTTTCGTGGATTGTCCCGTGGTAATATACTCCCGATGCCGGGCTATAGTTTCCTTGTGGTTCGGCCAGTTAATTGCATCTAGTCTCACACCCCTTTCCATTTCCACCACCACCTTTCTCGCTTCGCGCGTGTAATGATCCACTCGACTACTACCCACCACCAGCACCACTATCCGCCGTCTGGCTGGCATTTGATACACCGGAATTCCCATTCTCCATGCACAAGTACAAGAAAATTAAAATGAAGAGAGAAGAAAAAAAGGCTGGAGTTAAATTGAAGAGAAGTTGAAAAAATAAAACGATGAAGGGAGGAAGGATATTTGCGGTGGCACATGCTGCGTCTGGCTGACGCCTTCACGTATATTTTGG